ACGTTAACGCCTTGGGAAAAAACGAAGGGAAAAACCAAGTACACGTCGTCGTACTACCTACCCCCCCCCCCCCCCCCCCCGATGAAAACATCACTTTATTTCTTGAAGAAAATGCATTTCAATCTTGTATTTTAACTTCTCAAATATCGAGGTTGGCAATGCCTTAATGAACAGATCAGCCAAATTATCACATGAACGAATTTGTTGAATATCAATTTCACCATCCTGTTGAAGATCATGCGTCTGAAAAAGAACTTTGGTGAAATTTGCTTTATTATGTCTCCTTCGAATTATCCTTCTTTCAATTGAGCTATGCAAACAACATCATCTTCAATATTATTGGAGTCTTCTCTTCAAAGAAAAGTTACACGTCTGTTGTGTGTTGAGTCACTTGCTTTATCAGTTGTTTATCTTGGCATGACTTGAGTAAGTATCAACAATTTACTGCCTTGTAGAATAATAATATGGCAGTACCCTCACATGCAAATAGACTGTTTGAAGAATGAACTTCTAGAAAATGCCTGCATTTGCATAACCAACAAAATCTTGACAGTATTTGTTGAATAAACAAATCTATATCAAATATTCCTTTTGCAAAATATAACACTAATCGTATTTCAATATACATAGGAGTAAAACTATATCTCGCTAGAATATTATTATACTCATGGTTCTAGCAAGGTACATTAGTGCACCAATTGCACTAGACACAAAAACAAATCATGTACGTCATGATTACTCTAATCCACATAAGGATCTACTGAAACTTTATTTAATAAATTTCTTGGAATCTTTATATACTTCAGAATAATTTAATCCTTCAATGATTTTCATTATACGCATATCAAGTTTTTCATGCATTGCCAAATTTAAACCTGAAAACGATTTCATCCACCACAGGAGAACATACCTCCATATAATTAATGCCAGGTTATTTACAAAAAATCTTGTGCCACAAGTCATCTTTATGTCTATCGACTTGATTTTTCATTTAACTTTCGGGTGTTGGGACTATCCGTCCACCTTCACATTTTTCAGGTGAAGTCAACTTTCATTGCGTATTTTTCATTTGGCCAATCATTTATCTGTCCAAATTTCATGATAGATTTGAGCTCAAGATCCTCGTCAATATTGATAATACTGAACGCTATATTATATCAAAAATATCGTAGACGATCATTTTCATCAGTTCCATCTTTACCCAATAAAGACAAAATTTATTGAGATCTCTTTATCTCATTATTTTCAGGTACCTGAGCCTCTTCCATGAGGTCTTATAGAGTGTTATGTCGTGGTGCTCTTCTAGAGCACTTGCCTCCTTATTATGACCATCTTGATCATTTTTTTCACTCCTTCTTCAAGAATTTTTATCTTTGGAACCGATTAGTCTATTACGTCTTGTGCGTCCATAGGCTCTATCCATCATGGACTTTATTCTATTTGGAGCATTAACAGCTGAAATATGACATTTAGCTTTAGGTCAGCAAATGCCCCTGGCAATAGTTTGCAAATGAATTATAACTTGAACTTCAAGTTCGTATTTTCTTGTACGAGGATCTAGATGTACTCATAATAATTCATTCCACGTATCACTTTTTCAGCTGCCAATTTTCTCCCCTAATGTTGGGATCACCTACACATTTCTCAACCTTCTTTGGGAACCCATCTTTGTGCATTGTGGTGGGATAATTAAATCATATAACACATCCATATTTTTAGATGGAATTAATGGTTCCTGACCCTGAACCATTTGTGATAGGGAGAATTTATCATAACTTGTTGGCTAGATGCGTACAAGTGCTGCTGTATATTAAATAATACACCTCAAACCAAATTTATTTTTGGAAGTTTTGTTATCATAACCAATGGTTTAACAATAATTGGAGACATACAATTTCTGCTAAACCAACTTGAGTTTAAACCAGCATTATTAAGATAAATCATCATAATTTACATTCTGAAACTGTGCTGTAATAATTTGAGCAAGCAACCTTGAAAAACCAAACTGCGAGTTGATAACAAACGCACATGTTACCATATAATAGATGCATCTATTAAAATTATATAATGATAAACGGTCCACATGGTAGGTGATTGGGCCTATGTATATTACCTTTTATTCGTTCAAGAAATCAAGGGATTCAATTCCAACCTTAACTGGTATATCATGAGGATAAGCAGCACAAGAGAATTATTGAAGAATCTTCTATTTATTCAATATAATGCCAATGTGAATTCTGAATTAATTTATGCATCATAATTGAACTGGGATGGCCAACCGGTCATGCCAACTAATATTTTATTTCAGTAAAACTCTAGTTTACTTGTGGCATGTGATTCCATCATCATGATTATACTTGTGCAGTAAAAATATAAGGAAAGTCAGGTAACTTTTTATATTTATCCGGTATGGTTATAGTAATACGAAGATATTAAATCTTCCCATCATTTATCTCAGTATGACAATCACTTTGACTAATATATTTGAAACTCAAAAAGTTTCTTTTGAGATTTATTATATGTAACACTCCGTAAATTTGGACTAGGTGTGGACGTGTTAAATGAGTATTAATATGACATCTTAGACATATGAAGTACGATCGAGATGAGTATTGGTGAAAATAGTTGTTTTGGAATCAAGACGGAGAGTGAGGTGCATAAGATTCGATAAAATCGACTAAGTTTATAAAAGGTCCATCTTCTAGAAGGATTTCGTGAAAATCTGTTACGAATTTGAGAAAACATAAAATATGAAAGTTGTATCCCTTTGAAATATCTTTCCAACGATATATTGTGGAGCCCGGACGGGTTTTTGAGCAAAGAGTTATGTGCGTTTTACTGGATAATGCGCAGTATGCGCGCCCAGATGGTCCCGTGCGCAGCCGCATACTTGTGGCAGTGCTACTGCCTCGCTGCGCGTCCAGGTGCGCGGTTGGGCCTTCATGTGCGGGAGCACACCCGGGGGGTCATTTTAAAAGCCCTACTTCGTCCCCCACACCCTAAAATACAAAAACTTGCTCTAGAAAGGGAAGCTCTCAAGAACCTAACTCCTCAAAGGTCCCTCCCCATCCAAGGTAAGTTCTAATGATAAATCTACGTTAACTTCAATTCTTAAAAACTTTATTAACATGGGTAAACCCTTCAAATCATTAGATATTCGATCGAGGCATCATTGTTGAGAAAAAAACCCTAGAACTCCAATTCAAGAAGATTGAACGTCAAAAAGGTAATATCTTCACCCTCTAATTGATTATAACATTGGATTAATGATTATAGACTACAAGTTCATGGGATATTGGTTGATAGTTTTGATAGAAAAGCATGGACGATTATAGGTTTGGATTGTTGATGTTGATTATTGATTAAGGGTATTATTTATCTTATGGGTGATGAAAAATGATATTGATTATAAGAAATTTGAGATTTTAGAATTTATCTAGGAGCAAGAGAATGGCTAGTTGGGTTTGGAAGCACCATTAATAAGGGATATGAGGCTTTACGCCCATAAGGTTTTTGCTAAAATGCCTAAGTGATCAAAACATGAGTATTATTGCTAATATGGAATCCCTTTGACTTGTATTGATATAGATTAAAGTTGGACGGGTTGGCGAATGTTGTATTACACTCAAGAGCAGTAAGTTAAGGTATATGAGGCTAAATGTCACGCCCCAAACTCGGGGAGCGCGACCGGCACTCAACCGAGTGAACCCAGCCGAGCAAGCCTGTTAGATACTTTCTACCCAAACTTACT